CTTCTGCAAGGCGTATTTGGAGATTCAGCACGAGAGCGCCCTCTGGCCTTTGGATGGAGATTTACTGCTAATCACAGAACCGTGCTTCACTGAAAGATACGCATGACAATCGCAGCTTCTGCCAAATCACGATTTATCACCTTTGTGATTTAATTTCGATTAATGGTGCAGCCCTACACTAGACTCGTTTCTGCTGCAGCTGATCTTCTGTCCAGATGCTGATAAAGATTTCCCCCTGGGAAATAATGTGTGTTGAAACGGCTCCATCCAGAGAACAGCTTCCTGTTAAACACCTTTCAGAGCGTGTTTATGTGTGTGCGTGTCGCCTCCTAATGCAGCGTGACCAGTGTTCTGATGAGCCCAGCACAACATACGTCTACATGTGTGTCACAAACACAGCAGTCGTCATAAAGGCCACGACATGTCAACACTGTCACAATTTACGCACAATCCAGCCACAACCTGACAGGACAGATGTACAGAACTCATGAATCTATCGATAAATGTTCTGCCTGAACTAGAGCGGATCAGTGCTGCTGTCTTACTCGACTCTACCCTCCATCGTTTCACTGCGTTCACTGCAGTGCACTCTGGGACTCTTATCCAGATGCATCTGATGCTGCATTAGATTCCAGTTCAGTTAAGATGTCTTATAAGTGCACCTATGATGGCAGCAAATGACAAACCATAGCCAACCTACCGACACAAGCTCAACATCAAACACAACATGAAAGTTACTCATTACCTTATTTACATATCATTTGCATATGTTTACATAATTGGCCTGAGCATACAGAAGAGGTCTGACTGTCAATGAAAACCACGACAGAACTAAACTAGCTCTAGACCGGTTTGTCTGTGTTGAATTGTTTTGGACTAATTAGTTGGCTGAAGTGTAATTTGCGCAGGAGTCTCACCTGCCCAAGGCTTTGATGAGGAAGGAGACCGTCAGCGCCCCCACCAGACCGCCGATGGCAAAGATGGACACGGTGACCGACCAGAGCAGGGTGACCGTCCCGTCCCCAATGGGCTCATTATAGCGATCGATCCACGTCTTATTGTAGAAGGTCTTTATGTACTGCAGAGAGAGAGAGAGAGAGAGAGACAGACGGATCAATGTGACCTCTGGATATACGACACTCAGGTGACCTTTGACACGCTACACGTGACTCTCTGAGCACTCGATACACAGCCAAACTAATGAGACTCAGAATGACAGGAGAAGAGATACGGGTGGATAGACAGAAAGATAGATAGACAGACAGACAGACAGATAGATAGATAGATAGATAGATAGATAGATAGATAGATATCTGTGGATGACTGGTGAATAGATAGATAGATAGATAGATAGATAGATAGATAACTGATGAACAGATAGACGACTGATGAACAGATAGATAGACAGACAGACAGACAGACAGACAGACAGATAGATAGATAGACGACTGATGAACAGATAGATAGATAGATAGATAGATAGACGACTGGTGAATAGATAGATAGATAGATAGATAGACAGACAGATAGATAGATAGATAGATAGACGACTGGTGAAGAGATAGATAGATAGACAGACAGACAGACATAGACAGATAGATAGATAGATAGACAGACAGACAGACAGACAGATAGATAGATAGACGACTGATGAACAGATAGATAGATAGATAGATAGATAGATAGATAGATAGACGACTGGTAGATAGATAGATAGATAGATAGATAGACAGACAGACAGACAGATAGACAGATAGATAGATAGATGCTTTGCCCTGCTCTGATTGGCTGTAGAGGGTGGTGAGCTGTGATTGGCTGTAGAGGGTGGTGAGCTGTGATTGGCTGTAGAGGGTGGTGAGCTGTGACTGGCTGAGGTTTGTTGACACTGATGGAGTTCACAGCAAACTTGTGTCAGATCAAATGCAGCAGGAGCTTCTCTGAATTCAAACGCGCCACAGGGAGTCACTGCTAACAGGCAGCTTTAACTCGCTCACACAAACCAGGGACTGAACTGCATTATAATCGTGTGTGTGTGTGTGTGTGTGTGCGTAAGCTTGATTAGTTTCCATCACAGCGTCCGCTACTGCTGTTTAACTCAGTGATGAAAGCTCAGAGCTGGACTTACGCTGGCCGGAGCGTTGACCACAGACAGGTTATATCCGTACAGGAAGGACGATCCTACAGATCCAAAGAACGCGGCGCTGATCAAACACACGGTCAGACGCTGATGGGAAGAGAAACACACGTTAGTCACACACTGAGGGTATTTCAGTGGCTGATGTCACGCTGGTGTTTTTAGCGGCGTGTGGTCAGTGTGTCTGATCTCCCGGATCTCCAGAGATCATGAGCTGAGGAGCATGTGTCACATGATCACATGACCTGTACCTGTCTGTCCTCACGTGCTCATAATGCGGATCATCTCACACACACACAGCAGTGAACCTCCACGTCCATCTGGGACACGCAGGATTTAACCGATCCGTCGCTTCCGCATTAGTCTGATTGAACGTTTTATGAATATTCATAACCAAGCTTCTCCCGATCACAGATTCAAACACACCGAAACTAGTGATTAGTGACTAATGAGCGGTCACGTGATGACCTTCTTGAAATGAGGTTGAATTAATGTTGCTTTAATGTTGAATGCTTATAAATACATATAAATAAATGTTGAAAAGATATGTATGAAAAGACAAAAACATGATTCAACAGCCTTGATTCATGATGTTGATTGTCCCGTGAATAACCAATGAAATGCTGACTGGACCTAAAAAGGATAGTTCACCCAAAAATTCATATTCTGTCATTTACTCACCCTTAACCTGTATGAGTGTCTATCTTTTCTGGTCCCCATTCACTTCCATAGTATTTCTTTACAAAGTCAATGGCTACCGTCAACTGTTTGTTTACAAACATTCTTCAAAATATCTTCTTTTGTGTTCAACAGAAGAAACAAAGTTTAGAACTGACAGAATGACACATTTTCATTTTTGGGTGAATTATCCCTTTAGCTGGAAACCAGCGACTGTCTGGAAGAATTATGATGTATATTCTACAAAGAAAGGTTCACCTGAGTAAAATAGAATTTAATGGATGACGACAAGAACGTGAGGCCTTGATCTGTGTGAGATCAATAATACACATGATGATACTGCAGAACCTGTGTGTGTGTGTGTGTGTGTGTGTGAGTGTGAGTCACACACACACACACACACACTCTCTCTCTCTCTCTCTCTCTCACACACACACACACACACACACTCTCTCTCTCTCTCTCTCTCTCTCACACACACACACACACTCTCTATCTCTCTCTCTCTCTCACTCACACACACACACACACACACACACTCTCTCTCTCTCTCTCTCTCTCTCACACACACACACACACACTCTCTCTCTCTCTCTCTCTCTCACTCACTCACACACACACACACACACACTCTCTCTCTCTCTCTCTCACTCACACACACACACCTGTTTAGGTGGACCTTTGACGTCACTGCTGTCTTTGCGCTGCGTTTCCTCCTCATTGGTCTTTTTCTCCATCTCTCACTATTAGACCCCTGAAACACACACACACACACATGAAGAACATTGTGGAGATCCACCGTCCTGCAGAGTTTCTCTCCAGCCCTAATACAGTTTTCATGATCACAGGTGAGTTTGATCCGGGCTGCAGAACTGTGGATGTCTTGAGGAACTTAGCGTGCGTCCAGACAGAATCTACAGACTGTTTTCATATTATCTGTGCTGGCTTTTGGTTGTAAATGTGTGTGATTGTACAGCGACCCCTGCTGGAGGACACACACAGAATCACTTACACCAGGGTCTACATGCTGTTGTGTCTAAATAATGCCTAGTGCTTCAGCATAGAGCTGCTCTAGAGCTGGCAGATTTATAACGATGATGGACCAATTTAGAAGAAGCTGTAATGCATTTATTTTGTGTAGCAGATATATATTAGTGCCGCACGTCAGTGACGTATATATGATTGAAAAGGATTATTGAAACAAAGAAAACAAATATTGTTGGGACTTGCTTTTTTCTGCCAGTTGTTGATTGGATGTTGAGATGTAAATAACCATCAGAAAATTAAATGAATGAATAAACACAAATTTTCTTGTATTAATAATTTGGATTTCTCTTTTTATTACTCCATAAATCAGAAAATACTGTCAACAGACAGAAAACAAACACATTTTCACCATGTTTTTAGGAGTAAAATGTTGTATAAATCAGTGTGAATGAATTATGAGCAAACCTTCAGAATATAGAGAGGAATAAAACTGTAACGTTTGCTGTTTGTAACAGAAAAAACTCTTTAAAGATTGAAATCTACAGACGCAAATAGATAAAGTGCAATAAAATTAACACTTCAATGTGTATTCATGATGTTTTCTGTCCACTAGACTGAGAGAAGAGATGTGATATGGAGCAAAACAGACTGAAACCTCTGAGCTGAGCAGTGCAGGAATCACACAATGGTTTCACCTGTAATGCCTTGCCATAAAACAATCTGTAATCTATAAACGAGCAGCTTTGACATAATTATAGCAGAAAAACAAAAATATCTTAAGGAATATTGTGCAGTGAGAGAAAGAACTCCTGTTACATACAGATAAAAACAAATGAAACATAAAGTCTGGCTTGTAATAATCACAATAATTCATACTAATCATTATTAATATGGTCATCTCAACATGCCAAATGAGTAAAACTTTATAAATAAGGACACAAATGCTGAGTGCATCTTTAAAGTTGCTTTTTGTTTCACGTTTTACACAAAATGAGCTTAAAATCAAAGTAATCGGCAAAAAAATATCATCAGCTCACTATAAAAACAGCAGAAAACCCACCGACAGAAAAACAAACACGTGTGAGAGAGAGACACCATAAAACAGCTCTAGTGACCCGTCTCTCTCTCTCTGAGTCATGTATAACTGAATGATTAACACACACACACACACAAACACACACACTCACACTCACACACACAC